AGGTCTATATTGATGTATTGACTGTGAGGTCTATATTGACTGTGAGGTCTATATTGATGTATTGACTGTGAGGTCTATATTGATGTATTGACTGTGAGGTCTATATTGTTGTATTGACTGTGAGGTCTATTTTGACTGTGAGGTCTATATTGATGTATTGACTGTGAGGTCTATATTGATGTATTGACTGTGAGGTCTATATTGTTGTACTGACTGTGAGGTCCATATTGATGTATTGACTGTGAGGTCTATATTGTTGTATGGACTGTGAGGTCTATATTGATGTATTGACTGTGAGGTCTATATTGATGTAATGACTGTGAGGTCTATATTGATGTATGGACTGTGAGGTCTATATTGATGTATTGACTGTGAGGTCTATATTGATGTATTGACTGTGAGGTCTATATTGACTGTGAGGTCTATACTGATGTATTGATTGTGAGGTCTATATTGATGTATTGACTGTGAGGTCTATATTGACTGTGAGGTCTATATTGATGTATTGACTGTGAGGTCTATATTGATATATTGACTGTTAGGTCTATATTGATGTATTGACTGTGAGGTCTATATTGATGTAATGAATGTGAGGTCTATATTGATGTATGGACTGTGAGGTCTATATTGATGTATTGACTGTGAGGTCTATATTGATGTATTGACTGTGAGGTCTATATTGATGTATTGACTGTGAGGTCTATATTGATGTATTGACTGTGAGGTCTATATTGATGTAATGACTGTGAGGTCCATATTGACTGTGAGGTCTATATTGATGTATTGATTGTGAGGTCTATATTGATGTAATGACTGTGAGGTCTATATTGATGTATTGACTGTGAGGTCTATATTGATGTATTGACTGTGAAGTCTATATTGATGTATTGACTGTGAGGTCTATATTGATGTATTGACTGAGGTCTATATTGATGTAATGACTGTGAGGTCCATATTGACTGTGAGGTCTATATTGATGTATTGACTGTGAGGTCTATATTGATGTATTGACTGTGAGGTCTATATTGATGTACTGACTGTGGGGTCTAGATTGATGTATTGACTGTGAGGTCTATTTTGATGTATTGACTGTGAGGTCTATATTGATGTATTGACTGTGAGGTCTATATTGATGTACTGACTGTAGGGTCTATATTGATGTATTGACTGTGAGGTCTATATTGATGTATTGACTGTGAGGTCTATATTGACTGTGAGGTCTATATCGTTGTATTGACTGTGAGGTCTAAATTGATGTATTGACTGTGAGGTCTATATTGATGTATTGACTGTGAGGTCTATATTGATGTATTGACTGTGAGGTCTATATTGTTGTACTGAGTGTGAGGTCTATATTGATGTATTGACTGTGAGGTCTATATTGATGTATTGACTGTGAGGTCTTTATTGATGTAATGACTGTGAGGTCTATATTGATGTATTGACTGTGAGGTCTATATTGTTGTATTGATTGTGAGGTCTATATTGATGTATTGACTGTGAGGTCTATATTGATGTATTGACTGTGAGGTCTATATTGATGTATTGACTGTGAGGTCTATATTGATTGCTTGTTGCCACACTGATCATCTAGTACAGAAATGTCAGGTAATATAAGAATAAAAAGCACTTACTACATCCTGCTCAGCTGTCTGCGTGCCAAAGTCCACATCTTCACGATGTCTGTCCTCATCCCTGCAAAGCAGACAACACATGAATACAAACATCAAGATTTACCTGTTGTCATCATTATCACCACAACCATCATCATCACCACCTCTATCATCATCTTCATCACCAAGATCATCATGACATCATCATCACCATCACCACTATCATCATGACATCATCACCACCACCACCATCACCATCATCATCATCATCACTATCACCACCACCACCATCACATCATCACCATCACATCATTACTACAATCATCACATCATTACCATCACCATCACATCATTACCACCATCATAACACCATTTCAATCACATCATCATCACCATTATATCATCACCACCATCACATCATCAACACCACCATCACATCACCACCATCACATCATCAACACCACCATCAAATCACCACCATCACATCATCACCATCACATCATTACTACAATCATCACATCATTACCATCACCATCACATCATTACCACCATCATAACACCATTTCAATCACATCATCATCACCATTATATCATCACCACCATCACATCATCAACACCACCATCACATCACCACCATTACATCATTTTCATCACATCATTACCATCACCACCGCATTCTCATCACCATCACATCATCACCACCATCACATCATTACCATCATCATTACCATCAGCATCATTACAACCATCATCACTATCATCATCATCTCTCTGTGGGGGTTCTGAGGCCCTATTTTGGAGAAAACAAGAACAGACCCACTGCACCCTAATGTTGTTAAGGTCGACTTATTAGGGGTTGTTTCCTTCAAGTTGTAGTGCATCTGCCTGAGCAGTGAGGAACCAACTGTCTGCATAAAAATAAAGCACGCAAGGACCTGTCTGCAATGAGGGTCTGGCTGCCGCTAACACTGAGCAGAGACTTCTTCTGTTCCAGGGACTTGCACTTTCTCACGTCGAATATGCTCTAGCCATCCTCACTGTCAGCCATACTCAGACTGGGAGACTTGAGAAAGTACAAAATAAAGCAATGTACATTATTCTGGGGCACACTAGAGACACTTCTTGACTTCCCTAAACTACAGGATCAAGATCTGAAGGGCCCGTGCATACCTCAAAATAAGCTCAGATCTGAATCACCCTTTGCACCACATGCTCTTCATGAAAAAGGGCAATAGGCTTAAAAGGGGCAAATCATGGCTGGGTAGGGCAGAGGATGACATCATGCAGGTTTGTAGCCTTACAGACATTCATCCAGGTGAGGAATGGATACCAGCATTTAAAGTGCCCAATCTCACATTCTTCTGTGTCGTGACACTTGAGAGGAGTTGTCGGACGCAGAATCCAGCTGCTGTCAATGCCGAGGTATGCGCGCTTATCAGTGACAAGTCAGATGAGACAGCATACTGGACGCACATGAAGTCTTGTTTACCAACATAGGACTGGCACTATTAACCATACGACAATGAATATGTTGAGAGGGGAATCTAAGCACCTATGGATGAGTCTGGAGTGCTGTGTAGATAATCTAACTCATAACAAACAAGCCCAATCTGTCAAACATATGTGCATGCAAACTGCAGGTCTTTCAGCAAAAGCAGAGTCCAGATATAGATAAACAACTAGGACTTTCTGCCTGCTTAAAGTTGATGAATGCAAACAAACAAACAAACAAACAAACAAACATGCAATTACTTCAAATGTCCTGACATTTGGTATAGACAACAATGTCAACATCTCCCCATCCCCAACAGAATGAGTCACTACATGTGCTGGCATGGTTCCAAGACATGATGACATACAGTTTCTACAACCTTCTCTCACTGTTTTCCTTTAGCTCTCTAAATAAATCATTTTCATTGTTACAGTTTTTCTCTTATCATGTGACCAAAAAAAAAGGTAAACCTCTTCTTGATTTTCTTAAGTTTGTGACTAATTGTCTTTTTGTCTTTCCTGCCATGAAAACGTTGAGACTGGTCGTGTTGACTGCAGATAATTTCAGTTCTGTTGGTGCTATCTTCACATGGAGATTACCTGGAGCGGGTGTCTGCATCAACTGCTGTCTTTAGAAACATTCACTGTCTCCAGATGTAGTGTGGGCAGATTCAGTGTATACTGATGTGACATTTGCAGTGTATGCAGATGCAGTATACCCATATGTGTACTAACTGTCAGTTAGTTAGTCGATACATTATCCACACTGCACATCAAATCATTCAGTCCATTAGTGCTTGGATCTTCTCCTCTAGTAAATCCCGCAGTATACAGTGGCTGATGACACCAGTTCTGTGTTGGCTTCTCATTCTTCTTTGGCTTCCTGCATAATGCCTGTGTCTGGCCACACTCTGTTTAACTTGCTGTACTTCCAGTCTGACTATGGTTGCCGATTCAGTCCTCATTTGGTTCTTGCAAACTTGTTACTTCTTGTACAGCATTCAGTATATCAGCCAGGTCACAGTTCATCCACACTTCACAGCAGCCTGCAGGCCTATCTGCTTGCTCATTTTCTTGCACACCTGCATGACATAGCACACAAATAAAACTGATCTGTTTCAGCATGGATTGTAGACTAAATAAACAAAGTGAGACACCTGGCTCTGGTGAAGCTTACCAGTGATTGGACGAGAAGTCTTGACTTGTCTGTCTGTTCTGTGAGTCTGCAGGCAGACAAGTTCTACGTGTGAACAACCAAATGAAGGAACGACATAGAGGGGAAGAGGGGAGGAGAAAGGCATAGGAAGTGACAATCAGAAAGTAATATTGCTAATTGCATTTCAAAATTGCAAGAAATATATACAAACTAACAGCGATGAAACAATAAGAAACAAATGAGGCATGTTTTATCTTTCTTTGTTGTTTGTTTTGTCTCTGGATATGAAAGTATATCAGACCTCACCTGTGTGTACTATAAGTATCACCTCTCCACACTTACAAAACCGTTGAACACTCTGATCACCTAATCCTGCTGTGGGTATGTTATCTTTGTAAATTTTGTAAATGCTACAACCGGCATACTTGAAACTTTCTTTCCAATGTCCAACTGCGAAGGGATTCTATGCCATACATAGCGTACACACAGAAGGAAGCTCATGCTGTGCTTCGATGTCTAGTCTCTCACAAGCGCCCACAGACGTCAAGGAAGGGTTCCCTCAACTCCTGGAGTCGGTGCTCCTGGTACAGCATGTTAACAGCACTTGAAACAACAACAACAGGGAAAAACAACAGCTAGTGGTCTACTTGGATATTTAGGACACATTTACTGGACACTGGTTATCCCCTCTGGCATGATCTTGCAGTAGCGAACACAGAACATTCACTGACCACTGTGACAGTCATCAACAGCATGCCATCATGAGGTGAATCTTCCAGTTTGTTTTCTTCCATCCAATTCACGTACTGTGTACTAATGCCACATATTTCTTCTCAAGTTGTCTCCTGCCATTATATCCTCATCACCCCCCCCCCCCCCACACACACATACACAAAGCAAGGCATCAGTTGACAGTTAAGATGGCGGGTCTTAATTTGCTACTCCGGGCTATTTCCCTCTGAGAATTTCTAGCAAAAACTCAACAAGCAGGTATGTCAAGTTCACCAGCAACCAGTGGCAATCAAACTGGCGTCTGGCCGTGTTCCAAGCGCATGTGTTGCCCGGGCCTGTACCTGGGTGTTGGTACAGGTAGAAGACAGGTGAGATTTGGGCCGTTTTGTTATTAAAAGTTCTCACTTCTCCAAGATTGCAGTGTGTAACAGTGCCATGCCATAGTTATATTGGAACACCCTAGAACGGTTAAGTAAAGCCTGTAGTCCAGTGTGGGTGCATATTAGGGTTGGACCCAGCCCACTGAGTGAGGGTCAACATATAAGACAGGTTAGGGTTGGGCACAGACCTCGAGTGTAGGTAAAGAGAGCAGAAAGGTGAAGTCTTGGCACAATCACTCCGGCGCCAATACGACTGGAATGTTGATGAAGTATTTGTGCTGCCTCCTGACTGGTGTTCGTTGTGTGATATTATTGCTTTCTTACCAGATCTGCCAACTACACAAACACAGCCGGCATGAAGAGACAATTACCTACAGATACGAGAGAGAGAGAGAGAGAGAGAGAGAGAGAGAGAGAGAGAGAGAGAGAGAGAGAGAGAGAGAGAGAGAGAGAGAGAAAGAGAGACTTCAGTTTCCTATTTATAACTTGCTGAGGCATGCATGGACAAGTTTAGCGCCCCCAGTACGCAACTTATTCAGGCAAATGTCCCTGCTGTATGGGCTAGGACCGTTTATTGTCCAATAGTCTGGCAAACACTTATTGCAGTAACGAGAAAGAAAACTGGTCATATGAGTAGAAATGTACAAAAGTGATCAAATAGAGCGATATGACACTAGACCTGTGTAAGTTATATATTAGAATAAAGGAAGAGCGGGGTATTGATTGGCTTCGTTGAGGGGTTGGAAATATAAACCTTAGATAGTAAAATGTGTAACAATGATTATATAGGCGGGTGTCAGCTGGCGCTCGGGTGGCAGTTTGGGGTCAAACAACAGCATCACCATCATCAAGTGTCATGTCGACAGACGAGGGTGATCATGCCTCTCGTAGTACACAACTAAGCAGCGACAGTCATCGACAACTATGCCGTGGGGGGGGGGGGGCGCAGGGGTCATCAGGGTCTCCTGAGCATTTGTTTCTATGACTTTTTATAAATAAATTAAAAAAAAAAAATAGGACAAATTGGCGGGTGTCATTTCATAATGTTAAGTGCCGGTGGCTTAGTGAGTGTTTAATTCGTCATGTCAGCTAGTTACACGAGGGTTGTAGAGGTGTTAGTGCTCCTGAGGCATATGGTGCTATGAATTTATATAGAATAAAAATCCAAATTTTGCAGAGGAGAGATAACTCAGAGGTCAAGTTGTCTTGTCACGCGGCCGCCAAGGGAATCAATACCCCTAGTTTTCTTTACTTTATTATATAATCTCTAAAACGACTTAGTACTGCCCGCCACTTCTTATCGCCATACTTGAAACCCTCGGATCCTCTGCTCTGCTTGCCCCATTACGAGGTCCCACGAGAGCCTTATCCGAACCGCTAAGGGATGTTAAACCACCCTAGCATCCATTTAACCCACAGCAGACCTGTCATCGAGCCTCACCCGAGCCGCCTGGTGACCTCGGTAGAAAAAAGCATAATATGCCAAATCAGGAAGAGTAACGACTACGAATGGGAGGCATAAATCGTTTGTTTCTTTTATAGAGTCATAGAGCTGCTGAGTCCGTGGCGACAGAGCTGGCCATGCCACAGAGCTGGCCATGTCACAGAGCTGACCATGTCGCAGAACTGACCATGTCACAGAGCAGACCATGTCACAGAGCTGACCATGTCACAGAGCTGACCATGCCACAGAACTGGCCATGCCACAGAGCTGACCATGTCACAGAGCTGACCATGCCACAGAGCTGACCATGCCACAGAACTGACCATGCCACAGAGCTGACCATGTCACAGAGCTGACCATGCCACAGAGCTGGCCATGCCACAGAGTTGACCATGCCACAGAACTGACCATGCCACAGAGCTGACCATGTCACAGAGCTGACCATGCCACAGAGCTGACCATGCCACAGAGCTGGCAATGTCACAGAGCTGACCATGCCACAGAGCTGACCATGCCACAGAACTGACAATGCCACAGAGCTGACCATGTCACAGAGCTGACCATGCCACAGAGCTGGCCATGTCACAGAGCTGACCATGTCGCAGAACTGACCATGTCACAGAGCAGACCATGTCACACAGCTGACCATGCCACAGAACTGGCCATGCCACAGAGCTGACCATGTCACAGAGCTGACCATGTCGCAGAACTGACCATGTCACAGAGCAGACCATGTCACAGAGCAGACCATGTCACAGAGCTGACCATGCCACAGAACTGGCCATGCCACAGAGCTGACCATGCCACAGAGCTGACCATGTCACAGAGCTGACCATGCCACAGAGCTGACCATGCCACAGAGCTGGCCATGTCACTGAGCTGACCATGTCGCAGAACTGACCATGCCACAGAGCTGACCATGTCGCAGAACTGACCATGTCACAGAGCAGACCATGTCACAGAGCTGACCATGCCACAGAACTGACCATGCCACAGAGCTGACCATGTCACAGAGCTGACCATGCCACAGAGCTGACCATGCCACAGAGCTGACCATGCCACAGAGCTGACCATGCCACAGAGCTGACCATGCCACAGAGCTGGCCATGCCACAGAGCTGACCATGCCACAGAACTGACCATGCCACAGAGCTGACCATGCCACAGAGCTGACCATGCCACAGAGCTGACCATGCCACAGAGCTGACCATGCCACAGAGCTGACCATGTCACTGAGCTGACCATGCCACAGAGCTGACCATGCCACAGAACTGACCATGCCACAGAGCTGGCCATGTCACAGAGCTGACCATGCCACAGAGCTGACCATGCCACAGAACTGACCATGTCACAGAGCTGACCATGCCACAGAGCTGACCATGCGGCCTTAAATCCTCTGGCTCAAAGATCCCCCCTCCCCTTTCCCCTTTTCTAACACTACAAAAGAAGTAAATAAATGAAGCAGAAGCAGAACAAGCAGCACGATGATCCGCAGAAGAAAAAGATAGGAAGAGAAATGAAAATGAAGAAGAGGAGGAAGAGAGGGGGAGGGGGGGGAGAAGGAAGATGATCGATGTACACAAGGATGTGGGTCTATAAAAACTAACAAAGAAGGTGTCAAGTAAATGGACAAGAAGAAGAGAAGAAGACGCAGACGATGAAAAAGGCGAAGAAAAAGAGGAGGAAGAGGAAGACGAGGAAAAAGGCGAAGAAAAAGAGGAGGAAGAGGAAGACGAGGAAAAAGAAGAAAGAACGAAGAAAGAAGAATGAAAAAGAAAGGAAGGAAGGAAGGAAGGAAAGAAGGAAGGAAGGAAGGAAGGAAGGAAGGAAGGAAGGAAGGAAGGAAGGAAGGAAGGAAGGAAGGAAGGAAGGAAGGAAGGAAGGAAGGAAGGAAGGAAGAAAGAAAGAAAGAAAGAAAGAAAGAAAGGAAGGAAGGAAGGAAGGAAGGAAGGAAGGAAGGAAGGAAGGAAGGAAGGAAGGAAGGAAGGAAGGAAGGAAGGAAGGAAGGAAGGAGGGAAGGAGGGAGGAGGGAAGGAAGGGAGGGAGGGAGGAAGGAAGGAAGGAAGGAGGAAGGAAGGAAGGAAGGAAGGAAGGAAGGAAGGAAGGAAGGAAGGAAGGAAGGAAGGAAGGAAGGAAGGAAGGAAGGAAGGAAGGAAGGAAGGAAGGAAGGAAGGAAGGAAGGAAGGAAGGAAGGAAGGAAGGAAGGAAGGAAGGAAGGGAGGGAGGGAGGGAGTGAGGGAGGAGGAGAAGAAGAAGAAGAAGAAGAAGAAGAAGAAGAAGAAGAAGAAGAAGAAGAAGAAGAAGAAGAAGAAGAAGAAGAAGAAGAAGAAGAAGAAGAAGAAGAAGTAGAAGAAGAAGAAGAAGAAAAAGAAGAAGAAGAAGAAGAAGAAGAAGAAGAAGAAGAAGAAGAAGAAGAAGAAGAAGAAGAAGAAGAAGAAGAAGAAGAAGAAGAAGAAGAAGAAGAAGAAGAAGAAGAAGAAGAAGAAGAAGAGAAGGAGGAGGAGAAGAAGAAGAAGAAGTAGCAGCAGGAGCAGCAGAAGAAGAAGAAATAACACATAGCTGTAGAACGGCCAACTCACCTCCTCCCGAGTAGCTGGTCTCGGTGCGAGTGGTCCTGATCACAGTCCTGCCTCCCTCAAGGAGCTCCTCCTCCTGAAAAGAGTTAAAGGCATATTGTTTAGCTGTCAGGGGCGGCTCCTTCTCGGAGGCTGTGCTCTGGTAGCGGGACGCCAGCAGGTTCAGGTAGGTGCCACCAGCGGCAGATCTCGGGTTTCGGGGCATAACTACCGTTGTGTGGTGTCTCTGCCTCACAGTCCAGTCACACAAGTTTATACGAGACGCTGACTGTCGAAACAATCCTGATCCACTTTTAACACTGACAGTTGTTGACCTACAATTTAATGCTGGAAACTGTTGACTTAATTTTACTCAAAAATGTTTTAACGGGAGCTAGCGAAATACCAACAACTGTTGAGCTACAATTTAATGCTGGAAACTGTTGACTTAAGTTTACTCAAAAATGTTTTAACGGGAGCTAGCGAAATACCAACAACTGTTGACCTCTAGTCCAGTCAGAAATATTTTGGGAAAATCTAGTTAGCGACACATTTTCAACTTAAAGTTTATTTGCTTCTGTTGCAAGAAACCGACAAAGCGAATCCTCAAACAAAGAATACGCAGACTAATATCGGCTTATCTAAAAACTAACTTTGTATTAAAACAGGAAATTGTCTGCATCTCTTGAATGAGAA